AATGACCAAAATACCCCTGACTCGAGCATTCTAACAGGTATCATTAAGCTCAACTTTGATGGTAGAAGTTTAGGCAATCCGGGACCTTCCGGTATTGGGGAACTGTTTACAAATGCAAAGGGGTTAATTATCACTTTATATTCTGGCCTATAGGAGTAGGGAATTTAGCTAATGCAAAAATTCAAGCAATGCTACAAGGAGCTGAATTTGCCAAAGAACCGAATTGTGAACAGCTTTTAATCAAAGGTAATTCCAAGCTAGTGATCCAGTGGTTAAAAGAACTAGAAACAGCAGCCTGGCCCTATAAGGGGGTTTTACGAAGATTCAGACGGCTAACTACAAACACGTCAGTCCATTTCCAATGGGAAAGAAGATCAGGAAATAGGTTAGCAGACTCACTAGCTAAAGAAAGGGTGCATATTGATCTGAGGCTGCATATCATGCTTCTTTTTGGGAACTTTCTCTGTGTATCTTTTATGCTTCTAATTTTTAATAAAAACTCACTATTCATCAAAAAGGTGCCAAATCTTCCTATCAATGTGAACTTTCATCCATTGAGCGACAACCCTTCCTCTCAACACCATGAGATCACTAAGTCCAACTTTCATCTCTACCCAACAGGTGGGCCTTGCAGTCAAGCTCCCTTTTGCCTTTGCACTTGAGGACCAATCTCCATCTGAACCAACGAAACCTTTAAAAAGGAAATGGACCTAATTAAGGTGGTCTATAAAGAAGACAGTGAACAAGAAGATTGGCTTACTTTTTAGGAGGTGCTGAATTCACTAAAAAGGTGTTTCGGGAGAGAGAGAAAGAGAGAGAGAGAGAGAGAGAGAGAGAGAAATAAGGCTGTCAAATCTTTCAGTGTACTATATCTCGAGAAATGCTTGGCAGGGTGGAAAGGAACTATATCTCATTAGGGGGAAGAGTAACTCTAATCAAGTCTACCTTAGCAAATCTTTCAGTGTACTACATGTCAATGTTTAGGATGCCACAAGGGATAGTGAGGAAAATTGAAAAAAATCATGAGGGATTTTCTTTGGGAGCCAGGGGAAAAAAGGAAAGATCATTTGGTTAGTTGGGAAAAGGTGAGGAAGTTGAAGGTGGAAGGGGGTTTGAAAATTCGTAATGTTAGGCTGAGGAATTAAGCTCTGCTTTGCAAATGGCTTTGGAGGTTTCCAAATGAAAATGAGAAATTATGGCACAAAGTTGTTGCAAGCATTCATGGCATGTCGAGCAACGGATGGGATGTTGGATGTCTCCACAAGGCTACCTTGGCTGCTCCCTGGAAGGCCATCCATGATGTTCTCCCTACCTTCCTAAATCATATCAGGTACGACTTGTCTTCTGGTAGTAAAATCAGATTTTGGGAGGATGTGTGGACTATGGATTGGGGATACTCCTTTGGGTGAGAAATTTCCTTCTCTTTGTGATCTGTCCAGGTTCAAGGGTAGGCCTATTTCAGATTTCCTAAGTCAACCATCTCACCTTCTAGGGTTGAATTGGAACTTTGGCTTTAACAGGAACCTTAGAGAGTCTGAAATACTTGCAGTGTCCGAGCTATTAGGATTGCTGAATTCAGTATTCTTGGGAGAAGGTGGGTCAGACTCTAGGATTTGGGGTCCTCATTCTGATGGGTCGTTTTCTTGTAAATCCCTTCTACAATCGTTGGTTGCCACTTCCTCTTCTCATCCTTTCCCAGTCAAGGGAATTTGGTGCCCTCCTACTCCCCCTAAAATCAGTGCTTTTTGTTGAGAAGTATTTCATAGCTGTATTAATACCTTTGATGTACTTCAAAGGAAAAGACCAAATTGGTGCTTGTCTCCCAACTGGTGTGTCCTGTGTAAGTTGAGTGGTGAAATTGCTTTCCACCTTCTAATATCTTGCCCTTTTGTCAGTTTTATCTGGAATTGGTTTACTTCCCTTTTTGGATGTAGGTGGTCTTCTCTTGATAGGTTGGAAGGTTTGTTCAGCCCTAATGGTATTAGTGGCATGAAAAGGAGGGGTAGGATTCTATGGAGGTGTACTAGAGCAGCAATACTTTGGACTGTTTGGGAGGAAAGAAATGATGGAATATTTGAAGGAAAATAAAAATGTAAGGAAGCTTTACTCGAAACAATAACATTGAGGGTGGCACATTGGGTAAAAAGCTTGAAGTTGTTTACAGATTTTAAGGTCAAAGACTTTTTTAGGGTTTGGGGACTTATTGTTGCCTCCTCATCTACGAGACAACAGTTTTTTGAGGCATGGTCTCCTCCAACAGATGGTTGGAAGAAGCTGAACTTTGATGGGAGTTGTGTGGGTAATCTAGGCTCTTCAGGCATTGGGGGGGCCATTAGAGATGAAAATGGAAACATTATTGCTCTGTACTCCGGTCCTGTGGAGCAGGGTGATGTGGCAAGGGCAGAGTTTCCAGCTGCAACATATGGGGTTGAGAAGGCTAAAGTGTTGGGTATTAATAGACTGATCATCGAGGGAGACTCAAAAACTGTGATAGAATGGTTGCAGAAAGGGGAAGGGGTGACATGGCAGTTGAAGAATGATTTCCGAAGACTTAAATGGATGTCAAGGAACATGTCAATCCAGGTGGGATGGGTTAGGAGATCTGCCGACAGTTTGGCAGATAGTTTAGCAAAGCAAGGGGTTCAAAGAACACTAATGTTTTGGGCACATTTGTAATTCTGTCCCGGGTCAGCTTACTAAAGCTGATTTCTTTCACCACTTCTTGTTGTATCCTAAAAGTCTTCTAATTAATGAAATCTTTTCAGAGTTATCGATCAAAAAAAAGGCTGTCAAATCATCAATTTCAGATTTAAAAAGGTTAAGATGGGGTCTTCGGTTCAGTTGCTGGATGGAGAGTTAATGGTTTTTTTCAATAATTTGGGGGAGGGGGAGGGGGAGAGGGGATTGCCATGAGTATATTGCTCATTGGGCCAGAGTTTGTATATGGTTTATGGGGATGTTAGGATGATTGTTGAGTTGGAGTGGACTGTTAATCTTCACAGTGGGTTGTTCTTGTGTATGGAGTGGGGTGTTGTGGTCTGTTGCTGTTTATTTGTTGTTTGAGTTGGTTGTGCTGATGGTTTGTGATAAGAGAATCAGCTTTTAATTTCATCTCTGTCTGGGTGATTGCTTATCGCCTGAATTTGTATTCTCCTTTCCTCTTTCAAATAAAATTTCAATTATCACAAAAAAAAACATGCACGACATCTTGCTGCAATGACAGGTCTAGCAAAGCAAAAGTTGGAGGATTTAGAGATAGAATGATAATAGCTTCTAGCAGCTAGGGAGGCACTTAGCCAGGTCTTGACTTGCTTTCCTCGTTGACAATGTCAAGAAGGATTACTGAGATAAATTTTATTTCAAACCTAAGGCAATTCTTTGCACGTACAGGCTCTACAGAACCTAATAAACAAACGTTGGTTCCAGGAAATATACCTGAAGTACTGCTAGTGAACAGAGCTTTAGCCATCCAGGGCCGATGACATTGGCGCGACAAAAACGAGCTGCCGTTTATGGACCTTAATGTAACTCGAATAAGTTTCATTTCTGCAACAATCAAATACCCATTTCAGTAGGAAATCCTTCTTTGATTCAGCAACATATAAGATAAGCTTCTTAAGACAAATTAAAGAAATCAATCAGTAACGAATAGTTCACAGAAATTAAGCAATAATGAACGAGCAGACCTACACTCCTGCGGTTTCTCGCTGATCACGGTCGTCGAACTCAAGGGCAACAACCAGCCAGGGTATGGTGAGGTCGGAAGCAAGTCTCTAATACCAATGGGCGGTGAATTGTGCGAGAGCAAAACGAGGGTTGTTCAATCTTTCGTATAATTACTATTTTGACCCTATTCTCATACCGTCATACGTGCCTTCACCCAGACGGTTGAACCATTCAATTCATCACCCGGAGGTAAAGCCGGGTTGGTTCAAATATAAACCCGAAAAATCTTTAAAAATCCGTTTGACGGGAGAAAGCTCATGTAAATAGGGGTGTTCAAAGTCTGGTTGGAGAAGATCTCAGACCAAATCAGTAAATTACGATTTGAGAAATTTTCAAATCAAACCGTTTTATTACGATTTGATGCAGTTTGAAAAAGATCTCAGACCAAACCAGTAAATTACGGTTTGAGAAATTTCTAAATCAACTAGTTTTATTACAATTTGGTGTAGTTTCTAATACGGTTTGGGGAACTTTGGACCATTCTTTGATTCTATTGGCTTAACCCAATTAAAAAGCCCAAATAGAACCCCTAAAAACTAAAACTTAAACCTTTTATTTTATTATTTTATTATAAAATAAAAGAGTTTATTATATATTTATAATTGTATACATTCGGTTTACATATATATCATATTTACACATCATTTATTTATATTTTATAGATATAATTATGGTTTATAGTTTATGGTGTGGTTCAGTTTATAAAATCCAAGAAACCAAACCGCAATTTAGCAAAATATGAAATTCAACTAACTTATTTTCAGGTGCAAACCAAACCAAACCACAAATTTAATTTGGTTTAGTTTGGTTTTATGATTTGAACCAAATAATGTAAGTAACCGTACATGTAAATAACTTACCATTACCACCAAAAAAAAAAACCGTTCACTTGATAAATTTTTGGGTAAATTATAGATATGTACCCTGTACTTTGGGGTAGTGACAGATAGGTACCTTGAACTTTCAATTGTAATACTTGAGTACCCTGAACTTTCAAAATTAGACACTTAGGTCCATCTATTAGTATTTCGTCAATTAAACATTGCATAATGCCAAAAATACCCTTCTCATGTATTTTCGAGATCATTCCCAGGTAACTAAACGTCTCCCCATGATGACGTTTTCACATGGACAACAAATAACATATTCAAAACTTCCGACAATGGCATTCTCTAGTGATGATTTTACTCCATAGAATGATCTAAAAAATACATGAAAAAGGGTATTTTTTACATTATACAATGTTTAATTGACAGAATACTAACAAATAGACCCAAGTGTCTTTTTTTGAGAGTTCAGGGTACTTGGGTGTTGCAATTGAAAGTTAAGGATATCTATCTACCACTACACCCAAAGTACAAGGTACCTATTTGTAATTTAACTTAAATGTTTGGCATGAAGTGTGATGGCTTAGTTGGACGGTTCTGATTGATACCCATCTGATGGTAGATAAGTAATTATAGCCTTATAAGTTACAATTGAAATATTGGGTATTTCAAATAGTGAGAACACTAATCAAATGGCTTTGTTTTGTAATCTGTTATGATCAAGTTGCATTTTCAAACTGGAAATTATCTTTGGTTTTTTTTTTCCTTGAGCTGTTTGGAAATTTTAATTATATTGTTAGTTGGGGTGAGAATTGAAATCTGAGAAATATCATTAAGGGGTTTGAGCATACAATCCCCACCGGAGTGTTATAGACTTCACTATCCTTCAATTAAGGCCATGTTTGGCATGTCTTTTTGCGTGGACTGTCTGCTTTTTACAAGTCCGGCAGTTTGTTTCACATTTTCCCGTTTGGTTGGGGAAAGATCTAGCCGCCAAAAAACATCGTGCTTATAAGACGCATGAAGCTTGTTTTGGACGATTTTCGGAAAGCTCCAAATGGAGTTTTTTGTATTTATTTTTCAATTCATCTTTGCACGGAAAGACACACTTTAACCAAAATAGTCTTCAAGCTATCAAGATCTTAATACAAAAGCTCACTACATCTTTTGATTATTAGAACTTCAAAAAGATCATTCAAAAAAGACTTACCAAATGACCCCTAAATTAAGAGTTATTGTTCACCAGGAGACACTTGATTCAAAGTGACACTATTGAATATTTGGGGGATGTTTGGAACCGTGGCCATTTTTCAAAAAAAAAATGGTTCCATGTCGAATCCACATAGGCGTTTCAACAAATGCCCATGTTGCTCATTGTTTGGTTCAGCCGATTATAAAAAAAAAAAAAAAACAGTTTTGCCTTGAAAATCGGTGGACCACCGATGCATCCGTGAACCGTTGCCCCCAATGGTTAACTGAGCTAGTGAAAATAGCATCCTATGTGGCACTTATGTGTAATCCGAGTTGGCATCAATGGGAATGTTCCGGTGCTTCTCAGTCCACCAGAACATTAACCCAATAAATGGTAGTGTTAGACAGGCCTCTTCCTTCTTGCCATCGAACATCCCAGAGCCTCTGTAACTTCTACTCGCTGAAAGTATCTTCGTCATTGCCATCGCCGAAAGAGGTTGGTCGTCGCCTAAGGAATTTAGTTGTTGCCGGAAGAGGTTTGTCTCTATACTTTTTTTTTCCCTCTGTGTAAGTTCGTTTTTCTCTGTAAAAATGTTTTCTTTTCCTTCTCTGTAAACCATATGAGATAGAACCATGAAGCTTGCTTTCCTTTTCGTTTTGATAGAACCATGAGATATAACCATGTGCACTATTTTATTTTTCATTTCTTTCTTGACTTGTACATTCTGGACTGCTGGCTACTTGAGGTTAACAATTTGTTTTTCTTGCATCTCTGTTCTCAGGGAATTATACAACGAACTTGTTTCAAGTTTTATTGGCCATTAGACTTATAGATACTAATCATCAAAACATAATCTTAGATAAACAAAGTGATCTCTAGTCTGTCATAACCTATAATAGGCTCAACGAGATTATTAACATCATTGGTTCTTCTTTTGTTTTATCAGTTAAGTGAATCTGTCATTGGTTAAATGTTTTTTATCCAAGAAGAAAGTGATTGGATATATTTTTTCAATTTGTATTTGAAAATTGCTCTTGTAGTGGTGAAAGGGGATTGTGTTGCTTTCAGGAGCACTTGTATCTAGTTGATTTCAGTCTCTGTCCCTATTCTTGTATGAATTATCTTGTTTCTGTAGTTTATGTAGTAACTAGCAAACATTAAAAATGAATTAACATGAAAGAACCAAAATAAACTAGGAGAATAAGCAACCCAAATAATAGAATAAAAAACAAAAAACAAAATAAAAGAAAAAGCACATAGTTGATTAGTCAACCAGTCAACCAAATTGGGCATTCTTTTACCAAAGAATTTGATTAATTCTTTGTTCCCATGAACAACATGTTCAACCTGATCCAACCCGACAAAGTTGTGGCTTGGAAGTCTGAACATGGTCAAGGTTTCCATACACAGTTGTGTATCCTGTGATGAATCCCATGTGTTTTGATATTGAGGAAGCTTCCATCTCTTTAATGTGTTAGTTCATCCATGATGGACCACTTGAATCTTGGCGTATGTGATTTAATGATATGACTAGTTGTTGTTGTGCTACTCTAGCCTGTTAATCTTTTATGGCCCCACATGGGTTGTGGATCAATTAGTGGTGAAATCTGTTGTGTTTATGTGAATTCTGCTCCCATAATGAGCATCTGCTAGCTCTTCATGCAAATAAATATGAAGAACCCAGATAGGACAGGGGACTGGAGGGCTCTTGATTGTGCTGCAACTGGGTTTATGTGAAATCTGTTCCCATTATGAGTCTTTGCTAGCTCTGCTCTGCTTCATGCAAAGAAAAATGGAAGAACCCAGAGATAGGCATCTGTTCCCATTAGACCATATATTATAAAACAATCATCCAATTTAATCTGGACCATTTGATAAGCATCATTATATAATTTGGTATGATATTAGCATGTATCATCTTACAGGGGAATGTGTGAACATACATGAAAGACGGTGATGAAAATCACCTTATCAAACAGCATAGTGTTGTTCACTACCTACATGGCAGAAACACTACCAAACAAAAATAAGGCGTTTTTCAACAAAAAAACGGGTCTTGGAAGCATGGGCATTTTTTTCTTGAAAATCGGTTCTACAAAAACGCCCACGCTTCCAAACATCACGTTGATTATTGTGGCAACCACTTGTGAGGAGCCCTCTTTGAATCAAACCCCTCAAAATAGAAAACATAATTATTATGAGAGTATATCTAATAATCTAACAAGATGAAGGAACAACTTTTAATTCCTTTTAAAATTACAAACCTTTCATGGGACTCTTTCAATTAATTTTCATCCTTGCCGGGGTAGGAGCTTTTAAAAGGAAATAAAAATCAAACTATTATTGTTATTTGTTCCCTTAATTCATGGAGAAACATTCTTGTATCCCTATATTGCTAAAGCTTAACAAATTACAAAACAGAACACCTTGGATCATAGTTGTCAAGGCGACGCTAGGCGATTAGGCAATTTTTCATGGTCTCCTCACCCAAACGCCCCAGGTTTTACGTACTAGGCGCCCGCCCAAAGACTTACGCGGGTGCTTATTTATATATATGTAATAAAACTATTTTTTTATTTAATAATTGTTTTGAAATTTTATTGATTGTTGTATTGTTTTAAAATACAATCTTCGTATCATCTAGTATCAAGACAAGTTACATAAAGACTCTGTGAAAGGGTTTTCTTTCGATTGTAGAGGGAGGATAACTGAACACCAGTTCAAGCTCGAGCCCCAGCCCAACTCCATCGCACCTCACCTCCGACAGCAACAGGTAAGTTTTTTTCTTCAGTTTTCTTCTTCTTCTTCTTCAACATTTTCTCCTTTTTTTTTTTTGACAATACAGTCCGCACTCCGCAAGCCAGGCGCCAAACCTCTTCTTCTTCTTCTTCGAATTTCAGTTGAAAAAACTAAGGTTCCGCCAAACCTCATTTTCCTTTTCTTCTTTCTTCTTCTTCTTCTTCTTCTTCTTCTTCTTCTTCTTCTTCTTCTTCTTGTATCCCTATATTGCTAAAGCTGAACAAATTACAAAACCGAACACCTTGGATCATAGTTGTCAAGGCGACG